TATATTGTGGGGGGAAGGGGCATGGGGGTTTGGTATAGGTTTGTGGAGGGGGGGGGGGTATGTGCGTGAGGGAGGGTTTCTGCAAGGGGTGGATAGGTGTGGGCGTGGGGTGAGGGAGCATGTGGGTGTGTGTGGGGTTTGTAGGGGGCGGTGTGAGGGGGGTGTGGTGCTCAGCGCACAGTGCCCGGAGCGAGGTCCTGCTGCCCAGGGCTCAGGGCTGTGTCCGGGCAGGGAGAGCAGGGAGCCCCGTCTGTGCCCAGGGTGAGCAGCCCCAGAGCCCGGGCAGGGGAGGGTTGCTCAGCTGGGATGTTTGCCAGGGCAACGGCAATCGCTTCGTGCCCAGTTTGGGGGGGGGGCCGGGAGCAAGAGGCTCCTTTGCCAGAAGCCTGGCTCCAAGCAGCGCTTTGTTCCTGCCCCCCGGGGGGGAGATGCCCGGGGGGTCGGCGCAGCCTCCAAGGCAGGAGGGTTTGGAGTCAGGAGAAGGCAAACCCTAGGCTGGGCTGGACTGCGGTGTGGAGGGTGCTGTGAGAGTGCGGCCGGGGGGGGGCGCTGTTTCCCAGGTACATGAATGTCTTCCCCAGGACACAGGAGCCGGCGAGTGCAGGGCGGGTGCCTGCCCTGGCAGCCCCTCTTGTTGCCCCCAGCCAGGCTCAGGTGCAGGGGGGGTGCTGCATGCTGGTTGCACTGGTTGTTGCTGCAGGATTTAGCAGCCGGAGCCACAGAAGAGAAGGGCCCTGCCCAGGCAGGGGGGAGAGAGAAGAGCCCACCCGGGCGGGGAAGCCCACCACAGCAGCCAACACGGGAGATGTAGGGGCTGTGCAAAGACACAGGCACCAGGCTCCCTTGTTGTGGGCCTGGTGCAGCTGGTGGGGCAAGGGGCCAGGAGGAGAGGGGCTGGCAGAGCTGGCGGGTGGTGGAGCCCTGCCTTAGGGCTGTGAATTGAAGTCGTGATGCTGGCAGTACGTCCCTTTTAAGCACCAGGGTGGACAGCTGGTGCCTGTTTGCCTGCAGAGCAGCCGGCAAGGCGGGTGAAGAGGCCTGTGGGAGGGTAGCAGCACTTGGCTGGACCATGGGTAGAGTGGTTTGGGACCCTGCTGTTGGTGGTAAGGGTGGTGGGTTCAAGTCCCTGTAAGGCTTGTGTCCTCTGGCCCCTACCTACTATGCAACTGTTCTCCCCCTCTGGTGCTTGCCTAATAGCTAGTGCTCAGAGGTGATAACGGTTGAAAGCTGGAGGGGATCTGGAGCTGTAGACCACTTGGATATGTCCTGAACCACCTGGTGCTGGCCAGGTACTTTTTTGGGGCGCAGGGCCAGAAACTGGAAAACTCCTGACCTTCAAGGTGCAACTGCCGCTCAGACAGGGACTCAGACAGCCAGGTCTCCCCCCCGGCCCCCGCACTCCCCAGCACAGGCTCCATGTGGAGACTCACTGAGCAGTGAGGGGCTCAAGGGCTCCAGCCAGGTCAGGGCTTGACCTTTGCCACCTGGGGTAGTGCCCTTACCACCGGGGTGCCAGGGAAGGCTGCGAGCTTGGGCTGCCCTGGGCCCCTTGAGGCAGAGAGGCCAGGCCCCGCCATGGAAAGAGGAAGGCACCTCCCTACAAAACAGGGAGAGACCCAGACCTGAACCCAGGACCTCAGCACCTGCACAGAAAGGCCCAGCACCATGCACCACAGGGCCTGGCTGGCTCAGCCCCTCACTTCTGGGCCTATTGACTCTTTCCATATGGACACACACTGGCCCCACTACGTGGGGAGTCCTGCAAAGGCTACGGTGCCTCGTGGTCTGGTGGCCAAGGCCCCATGCTGTCAGGCAGGGCCAGTGGGTTTGACCCTGCGCAGGGCCAGCGTCCTCTGGGCCCAGCTTTCATTCTTGCTTTCCCCAGTGGCGCTTGCCCAGCCGCTGGGGGCCAAGGGCCGTCGTATCTGCCGTGCCGGAGAGGACTTGTTGCGGCCGCCCGTGCTCGAGTCCGGAGACATCGAGCTGGATGCCAGGCAGTCTGCCTTTGCCTCTGTTTCCAGTCATAGGAGCTGCTGGACACAGTGAAGCCGTGCGGCACGTCCCCCCGGTCTTCTCTGGCTGCTCAGCAGGGACCACTGCGGGGCACGAGCCCAGCCAAGGGGTGCAGGGGGG